GAATCACAATCGGATAATTGCTAGAACCAAAGAAAAAATCAATAGCCTTTATAAGGTTAACTTGTTAAACCAAAAACAGTTTCGTGGTTTTAAATTTGTAGCTAACAAACTTAATACTAATATTTTTGATTATATTCATGAACCTTGTTTTAAATTTGTTATTTGGAAGAAACCTAACATTGATTATATCAAAGTGAATACTGATGGTTCTGTTTTTGATAATAATTATGGTTGTGGAGGTATTATTAGAAATTACAAAGGTAATTTAATTGTTGCTTTTTCCTCTCCCATTAATAAATGTTCTGTTTTATATGCTGAACTCATGGCCATTTATAAAGCCCTTCAACTCTGCTTATCTTCTGGTTATTTTAAAATTTGGTTGGAAGTTGATGCCATTTTAGTCATTAATTGTCTTGCTGCTGATTATATTGGAAATTTTGATACTTTTTATATTTTAAAAGACATTAAAAAGATGCTTTCTCATTTGGATTATAAAATTTCTCATATATGGAGAGAGGGCAATTCGGCGGCTGATTTTTTGGCTAAAAATGGAGCTAAACTACATCAGTATACACTTTTTTATAACAATGACATTCCATTTATATTAAGAGGTTTAATCAATCTTGATAAATCTGGATTGCCATATATTCGTCATTAATTTTTGTTTTATTTGGCTATGATGTTTATTATTCTTTTATGGAATATTGTGTTTGCCATTTTTCTTAGTAATTTGGTTATTATGGTTTTGTTTTTGGTTTTTAATCCTAATTGGATCTGGAACTTTTTATTTTGGTGTGGAGTTTGGCTGATTATTGGGAGGAAAACCTGGATGGTTTATGTGAAATAAGTTTGGCTAGTTGGAATATTTGCCACCCTTTCATGTGGAATTGCTGGAACTTGTTGGTTGTAAGATGGTTTGCTTTACCTTAAATAATTGCTGGAGCTTCATCATACATCTTTTTACTAGTTTTTTATCTTTTAATAACCAAATTACTTTGAGATTTTGGGTATTCTTCTATTCTATAATTGAATTATTTAATACTGAGCCTCTATTATTATTATTTAGATTAATATTAAAGCTTGTTATAATTTTTTTTTCTGAGTTTTTTTTTTTTCAGATATTATGACAACTTTTGGTGGAGAATTATTTGATTTATCAAGAGATTGAGCTCATAAAGTATATTAAAGGCCTTTGGACAATGGATACTCATGCTTTTGTTCAAATTATTCAGATTTTTGAAGATGGTGGCTTTAGAAGTCTTATCTTTTTTTTATTCTATTATTTGTATTTAGAAAGAGACTTTAGGCTCATTAGATTTTATTTTATTTTTTTTGTATTTTTCTTTTCTTTAGATGTATTTTCTTTTGTTTTAGTTGAGCCTTTCGTCTCTTTAAGGACTCTTTGTAATCACTTTTTCTAAATAAACGCGTAAGCCCCTACAGTGGGTTTTAACCAAAAAAAAAAAAAAAAAAAAACCCTAAACCCTAAACCCTAAACCCTAAACCCTAAACCCTAAACCCTAAACCCTAAACCCTAAACTTAATACTAATATTTTTGATTATATTCATGAACCTTGTTTTAAATTTGTTATTTGGAAGAAACCTAACATTGATTATATCAAAGTGAATACTGATGGTTCTGTTTTTGATAATAATTATGGTTGTGGAGGTATTATTAGAAATTACAAAGGTAATTTAATTGTTGCTTTTTCCTCTCCCATTAATAAATGTTCTGTTTTATATGCTGAACTCATGGCCATTTATAAAGCCCTTCAACTCTGCTTATCTTCTGGTTATTTTAAAATTTGGTTGGAAGTTGATGCCATTTTAGTCATTAATTGTCTTGCTGCTGATTATATTGGAAATTTTGATACTTTTTATATTTTAAAAGACATTAAAAAGATGCTTTCTCATTTGGATTATAAAATTTCTCATATATGGAGAGAGGGCAATTCGGCGGCTGATTTTTTGGCTAAAAATGGAGCTAAACTACATCAGTATACACTTTTTTATAACAATGACATTCCATTTATATTAAGAGGTTTAATCAATCTTGATAAATCTGGATTGCCATATATTCGTCATTAATTTTTGTTTTATTTGGCTATGATGTTTATTATTCTTTTATGGAATATTGTGTTTGCCATTTTTCTTAGTAATTTGGTTATTATGGTTTTGTTTTTGGTTTTTAATCCTAATTGGATCTGGAACTTTTTATTTTGGTGTGGAGTTTGGCTGATTATTGGGAGGAAAACCTGGATGGTTTATGTGAAATAAGTTTGGCTAGTTGGAATATTTGCCACCCTTTCATGTGGAATTGCTGGAACTTGTTGGTTGTAAGATGGTTTGCTTTACCTTAAATAATTGCTGGAGCTTCATCATACATCTTTTTACTAGTTTTTTATCTTTTAATAACCAAATTACTTTGAGATTTTGGGTATTCTTCTATTCTATAATTGAATTATTTAATACTGAGCCTCTATTATTATTATTTAGATTAATATTAAAGCTTGTTATAATTTTTTTTTCTGAGTTTTTTTTTTTTCAGATATTATGACAACTTTTGGTGGAGAATTATTTGATTTATCAAGAGATTGAGCTCATAAAGTATATTAAAGGCCTTTGGACAATGGATACTCATGCTTTTGTTCAAATTATTCAGATTTTTGAAGATGGTGGCTTTAGAAGTCTTATCTTTTTTTTATTCTATTATTTGTATTTAGAAAGAGACTTTAGGCTCATTAGATTTTATTTTATTTTTTTTGTATTTTTCTTTTCTTTAGATGTATTTTCTTTTGTTTTAGTTGAGCCTTTCGTCTCTTTAAGGACTCTTTGTAATCACTTTTTCTAAATAAACGCGTAAGCCCCTACAGTGGGTTTTAACCAAAAAAAAAAAAAAAAAAACCCTCGGAGTTCGAGTTGCCCATCTAGTAAACAATACAATACAACCTAGAAACATTCTACGACTAAGCACCCAAAAAATGAGAGAACACAAAAAACAACCAAAAAAACTCCCCGCAGCAAGAATCCACCAGCAGAATCAACTTGAAGCCCAACTCCTGCAACCGCCAAAAAGAAACACAAAGCACAAGATGCAAAGAAAAATAAAAGCATTCAATATGTCAAAAATAGAACTAGAACTATAAGGATATGTCTGGATTAAGTCCTTCTCAACTAACTCCAAATACTCCCAGCATTTCGAATAAGGCAGGAAGAGAACACATTGCCTGCAAAAAAACCAAAGCACGAAGGAAAAAGCAAATAAAGATAACCCTCGATCCACTGATTACCCCCACACGAGCCATACAGCAGAGGGCCACCCTCACAGAAACACCTGAGCGAAGCCAAAAACTGGCAAGAAAAAAAGGCCCAGGAACCACCTTGAAATACCCAGTCAACCAACGAATCCAAATACAGCTGAAATGAGACAGAAAAACAAAAGACTGGAGGAAAACTCCACCCAGATCACACATATC